TTGCAGGTTGAACAAATCAATTTCCATCTTCACAGTCAAAAAACAAGCCTGAATGTCAGTGGACATAAAGGTGCAGGCTTACTGGAATTACCCATTCTGCTGCTGTGAATCTGTGGCTGACTTGCTGGAATTAATCAACATGGGTCCAGACTCCATAAGCTTAGAGCAGCCTATAGCAGCAGGATAGTTTCAGTGGACAGTAGAGCCAAGGCCACTCCGTCCCTGGCCTCATCCTGCATGGCTCCTGCTGCAGGAGCAGCACCAGAGAGGGGACTTCCAACCACAGGTGTCCTAGATCACCATGTGCCACCCTCTCCAGTCCCAGGCTCCTCAGCCCCGGCTCTCAGCTACCCTTCAGAACCACTTACCTTACTTATATTTTACTTATAATGCAGAATCAAAAGTGTGCTAAATGATGGGGCTGTGTATTTAGCTCAGTGGCATAAGCGCCTGCCTTGCAAGCAGGCAGTCGTGAGTTCGATCCCCGGTACCGATAAAAAGGAAAAAGACAAAAAAAAAAAAAAAAGTGTGCTAAATGAGTGAGTAAACACGAGCACGAACAACCTTTCCAAAGGGAAACTTTAGACAAATTAATCATTGCATCAATAAATATAGGACTGCAAAATAGGGCAGAAGCCATCAGGAAGAAAAGGGTGTGTTGTGTGATTGGAGAGAAGAGTATGAGACATGTAAATTGAGACTTGAAAGACCAACAAGAGCTGGCTAGGCAGGGAGGGGAAGAGCCCTCAACACGGGGAGTGGAATGTGCAGAGGCCCTGATGTGTGCGTGGGGGCGGGGGACCAGGAAGAGGATGGAGGGGCCCCATGGGAGTGGCTTGAAGGGAGACAGCATGTGAGGACCTTGATAAACAAATGAAAGGTTTGATACTGCGTTTCACAAGCATCACAGACCTGTAAAGGTTCAAGGAGCTTGATATGATTAGAGTTGAGGGACGCTGATACCGCAGTCCCTGCAGAAGACGGCTCCAGGGATGCAGGGGGTGGCTGTGGACTTGGAGCGGATGGGTGTGATGTGCGTATGGGAAGTGGGTGCAGTTGGGTGGTTAATGAGCTGGGTAAAAGGAAAAAGAGGCCCGAGGACAACAGAACCCTGTTGCCATGGAAACAGAGGAAGGGAAAAGTGAGCACTGAGGGGACCACTCTGCCAGGTCACTAAGAGGTCATTTGAGAGGAGACCGTCCATTCCACGTGAGGCAGCGTCTGTTGGACAGCCTGGCAGGATGCTCTCCCAGGAGAGAGGCTGGCTTGTCACACGGAGGCTTTAACACATGGGGATGAGACAGCGTGATCGGAATGTTGAGGGCCCAGCCTCTCAGGGATGCCCCAAAGCCCAGAGTGCAGCTTTGACTTCTCTGTGAGCTCCTGCCCTCGCCCCACACTGTCAGCACTGTCACTGATGTGACGTGTGCTGGGGCTTTGTGCTGTGACAGCTGCCTTGTCCCCAAGGCACCAGCTGCCCATTTGACTCTTGCTTCCCCCCACCCAGTGTCAGCCACCAAGCTCCCACTTGTCATTGTCTCACTGACAGGACGCCCTTGTGGTGTCCACTGCTGTCTGTGGAGCCTGGGTTGGGCGAGTGCTGTGCAGACTCCAAGCTGCTGACCCTCCCAGGCAGCCACGGCCGCTGCACCCCCTCCCAGTTCTCCTCACCTGCAAGCCAACAAAGGGTCAACCTCAGTTTTTCATTTGCAAAATTAGGGGTAAGACACTGATAGAAATCCAGATTCCTGTTGTAACACAGTTTGATACCAGTACAGAGAAGCTGGTCACTACCAGCTCTCTGTTGCTGTGAGATAATCAGGAAAGACTGATTTGGGCTCATGTCTCCAGAGGGTTCAGTCTGAGGCGGCTTGGTCCTGTGGCTCTGGGCTTGTGGTGATGGAACAGCACCGCATGGCAGGAGCATATGGAGGTAACTAGTTTACCTCTCGGTGGCCAGGACACAAAGGGAGCGCTCAGTGTGTCCTTCAAGGACTTGATTCCCATGGTCTAACTTCCTGCCACCAGGTCCCACCTCCTACAGCTCCATAGATAGGGACCAATCCATTAGCATATGGGTCATTGGGGGACATTTAAGAACCAGCTGATGGCAGTCTTGTTTAAAATAATAATAATAATAATAACCCATTAGAAAAAGTATCCTCAGAGAGTCTTGACTTTTTTGTAGAATATCTAATGGAAAATGAGATCCTTATAAGAAACTGTTAGAACACCTGTGTCGAGGTAGAGTAGGAAATTTGTGAAGTATATTCTTGGCATGTTCAGAAGGAAGTATAAAAAAAAGAAAAAGAAATTAGAAAAAAGGAAATATGAATTTATTTCCATTTTTCCAAAGTCTTTTTCTTTGAGGAAAACAACTGGCTCCTTCCTACCACTACAGATCCGTGTTCTATTTTGCTTTTTCTTTAACACCGATGTTAAAAATGGATCCAGAGTGAAAAGCACTTCCATGCTGGAGACCTCAGATGGCCATTCGTCACTTTGTTCTTTGTCAGAGGTGACCAGCTGACTCTAGACAGGTGTCAGACTGAGCCGGGGTTCCTGGCAGGAGGAGAGGGAAGCAGTTATGAGGCCAGGTGACGCTGACAAGATGGACAGGATGGTGGCTACCTGAGCACACTATGCTGAGCGCAAACAGATTTTAAAATACAATGGCAGATCAATTTCTACAGTGAAGTAATTATTTCTCAGACTTTCGAAAGGTTCTGCATTTTTTAAAAAACTTTTCACAGTGTTGGAAATTGAACCCTGGGGCTCCAGCATGCAAGGCCAGCACTGACCCCTGACCCCGGCCTGCACCCTGGCCCTGAGGCTCTGCAGTGCTGACTTCCAGAGGGGCAGACGTGGGACCCAACGTGAACTGTGGATGGAGGCAAACCAACACCCTGGAAAAGGGGCTCAATTAGTTTGTGATCTCCATACATGCCTTCAAATGCTTGATTTCTGAGCTGTTTTCCATTTGCAAGACTTTGGAAATGTGCTCAGAATCTTTTATAGGAAACAGGCATATCAACCCTAACACCCTGGAGCCTTCTTTAATTGTGTAGTTCTAGACACGATTTTCATTGAATGTAAATCCTTTAAAGGGTTTAAGTTATACACATTTTATTAGGAGGTTAGTATTGGGGCAGGTGGCAGAAAGAGCAGCCTTGAGAAACATCACAAGACCTCTGCCCTAATTGGAATAACGTGCTTCAATTTAATATTGTTTCTCTTTTCATGAAAAATTTAAATTCAAAATTTTTTAAAGTTGTATTACACATATCTATGTGTATGTAGATCTGTGCATAAGAAGGAAACATTAAAGTAAATCTGATTTTTTTTCTTTCCCTTACTGGGTTAATAAAAAACAGGCCAAAGAAATTTTTATTTAATAGGGAAATGTATGGAAGAGGAGGCTTTGTTGTTTTTTTCATCTGTGTAGTGTGATTCTTTTACCCGAGCATGTACTGGACATTACCTTCATAAACTGTGGCCATGTGATAAAGGAATGGAAGACAGAAGAAATGAAGGAGGAAAAGGTGTAAGGTGGAAATAGGGCTCACAGTGGGATGATGTCTGTGTACTTTGGAGAGTGAGTTTACAAGCCTTCTACAACGTGCAGTTAGGGGCCTCGGGGTTTAGTTCAGTGGCATAAGCATCTGCCTTATAAGCCTGCAGTTGTAAGTTCGATCTCCGGTACAAAACAAAAAAACAACCAATTTGGGAATAGTTGCAAACTATCTTTAATGATGATTTTCAACCAGTTTCATAGAACTGCTTCTATACTACCCTGGTTTTTATTGTTTTGTACAGATGTCAAAAGAAATTTTTAATTTGGATAATTCCTTTATTTTTTTAAAACTTTTTGGGTACTGGGAATTGAACTCACAATCTCATGCTTGCCAGGCAGCTGCCATCCCACTGAGCTGAATCCTTGGACCCAAGTCCTTTGTTTAACTGGACCAAAAAGTGACACTGGCATGTGTAGAATTCTTCACTCCTGACCCAGACCCTGCAGCTGCCTGGCACTCAGGGGACAGCGGCTACCACTGGCCACCTCACTGCCACCCGGAGCTCACAGGGGAAGCCAGCAGCGCTGGGGCAGCGCTCGCTGAAGTCACCTGAACGGAGAACCAGGTGAGACTGGGTATTTCCATTATGTAAGTCAATTCCCACCCCCCCCCGCCCCGTTCTGTGCTTGAATAATAAATAGGTCAGATGTCCCGTTGCCAGAAAGAAAGTGCCTTGACTTGTTGGCTGCAATATGAAAAGTTGCCTGTGGTGCTGCAGTGAATTTCCGGTGTGCTTCATACGGGTCAAATGTACAGATATCCCCCAAACATCCCTCTTTCTTCCCTTCAACAGTAGCCCTTCCCTTCCCTTCTCTTCCCTTCCCTTCTCTTCTCCTTTCCTTGTCCCTTCTTTCCCTTCCCTTCCAGTGCTCCAGGAAGCCATTACAAATTAACCACAGGGATGTGGAAAGGAAAACCTGTTTGCTCTTCACCTGACTGACACAGTCTAGGGAGTCAGTCTCCCTGGACTCAGCTCCGTGGCTCACTCATCCTCCCAGCCCCCTGTTCTCATGGTGCCCATGGGCAGAGCCAGACGGCTAAGGCTGTGTGGTGTGGTGGGCACTGCAAATAGGCCTGCTCTGTCTGTACAACCTTTATTTAAATGAGCCTGCAGAGCTGGAAGCTGGACCAGGAAGGGGTATTCCACGAATGCCCAAGCAGTCAGGCAGGCTCTACATTTAGGAAAGGGAGATCAGTGGATAGCGAGGTGAGGTGCAAGGGGACTTCCCAGTCACACAGTGGCTTGCTGGGGCTGCCCTGGCACCCGATGCTGGATTGTGGCCTCCGGAACAGAAAGCTCAGTCCAGAGTCTGCTCCTCCAGTCTGCGCTGCATTCCAGCCTCCAACCCCTGAACCAACCCCTTTCTGCTTCCCCCACAATTGTACCTGGCTGAGGCAGCCTGTGGTCACTGTCACTTCTGTTGGTTTTTCCATCTGACTTGGCCTCACATACAGAAATCTATCAAGCTGCAAAGACAGAGAGGGATGAACTAATAAGAAGGGAATTACAACAACTCTTCGACAGCCATCAGCCAGAGATACACTTAATATAGGAGAATGCAGAGGGTTGCTTACCTAACTTACTTTGATGATTGCAGAGAATTAATTGCTTCTTTTAAATGTGGGAGAACTTACTTGGAGAATAGTAATGATAAACACAACTTCCAAAAAGAAAAATAATATGTAGCTTCCAAAATACAGGGGAGGCTGGGCAGGGTGGCACACACTTGTAACCCCAGCACTTGGGAGGCTGAGGCAGGAGGATCGTTGTGAGTGTGAAACCAGTCTGCACTACAAAGTGAGCTCAAGGCCAGTCTGAACTGCATAGCAAGACCCCACCACAAAAAGACCAAAAAAAGATAAAATGCACAGCAATACTGTTATGGATTAAAAACTGGTGGTCCGTTTAATACCAGCTGAATTAAATCAGCATGATGCTGCGTGTAGATGGCCCACCTGAGGACTGTTACAGCATAAAAGGAGACATGGAGAGGAACAGCGAGGCGTTGTGGGTTCTCCTAAGTGTTTGGAGCCATTGGTTCTCCTGGAGGAGATTGTCTTGCTGGCTCCCCCGATGGATTTGCCCATTATAATCAGAGGAGCTTGGGACCTTCTCGCTGAGAGTGGCCATGCTTCGCTGTGGGGGAGCTCTGGTCCTTATGTTGAGCATTGCTTCCTTGCTCTGTAGGGGAAGATGTGTGCTGTTTAATCTCCAGGAGAAGCTCGTCATGCTGGCTTCCTGACATGCACTCAAACTGTTCTCATCATCGGAGGAGCTCAGGACCTCACTGTCACTGAGGATGGCCGTGGTACCTTACAGGGAAACCCTGGTCCTTATTTTGAGGCATTGCTTCTTAGCTTCAGTGTAGAAGCCTCAACCTTCTAGGACAGCTCCTTCACCCCACTGGCACAGACTTTCCAGCTTCCACTGCTGAGCTTTGGGCCTTCCCGATGCAGATCCATGAAGTAGACCTGTTATGGGTTCTAGACCTCCCGTCGGACTCATGCAGGACATTGCTGTGAGATCCAAGCCCTTGACTGGATTTTCTAGGTCTTTAGTTTTGTGAACAGATTCCCTGCTCTTACTTGTATTTAACTCAGAGTGATCACCATAAAACAGTATTATAAATTCTGTGTCTTGTATGTAATTGTTCTCTTTGCAACCCCAACTACAACAAATATCTTCTATATTGTTGACTATGTTCACAATTTTTGTTTTTTGAGGCAGGGTCTGACTATGTAATCCAAAGTGGCCTTGAACTCACTATGTGGCCCAAAAATAACCTTGAACTTGCAACAATCCTCCTGCTTCAGCCTCCCAAGTGCTGGATTACAAGTGTGTCCTATCATGCCTGGTGAGAATTTTTTTTGGACTGTATTCCTACAAAATATGACTACTGACTCCGATCAAAGCTAATACAGAAGACAACAGATATACATCAGGATTTAAAGGGTATTATCCCAGCCAGCACAGAAATGCAAGCCTGTAAGCTCAGCACTCAGGAGGCTGAGACAGGAGATCACCAGTCTGGGTTACATGGTGAAACCCTATTTCAAGAGGAAAAAAAAATGTATTCAGGAATTTTCAGAGACAGTTTTCTTAAATGCACAAGGAAGCTTCAATTTCACAAATGTTCGTGGGTAGGAAGATAATAGTGTGAATGAGTTTCATGAGAAGAGAGACGTTTTTCTTTGGATGAAAAGATGGGAGGGAGGCAGCTTTACAGGGGAGAAACCTGGCACGTGACCCCCCAAGCCAGAGGGTGGAGTCAGCGTCAGCAGTGAGGGTTCAGGTGGACGGTCTGTCCCTCTGATGTAAAGTAAGGAGATCACCACCTACTGTCCTCCGCAAAACCACAATTCTGGCCTAATGATGAGGAGACACCACCCCCAGGGGAGGAGAATTCCACCTTTACCCGCTTTCCTCAAAATGATCAAGGTCATGAAAAACAAAGGAAGTCAGACAGACTCTCACAGGCAGGAGAGCTGATGGACACAGTGGGCCTAATAATGTGGGATCTTGATGAGACCCTGAACAGAAACATAAGAAAATCAAGGGCTATGGGACAGATCTCAGTGGCCGAGTCCATGCTCAGGGGCCCCGGGCTCTACCCCCAGCATTCCAGGAATAAAGACATGAATAAGAATCTGAATAAAATATGGACTTTTGTTAGTAAAAATGCATCGCTATCAGCTCATTGTCTGTGGGGAGCGTCCCATCCCAAGGAGCGATGTTACTAACAGAGGAAAAGGAACCAGCTGCACCACACTGTCATCATAATTCTGTAAATCTAGAGCTTTTCTAAATAAAAATGTCACTGAGGGGAAAAAAGAGGCTTTTATGATCATAAGAGGAAATTTAACCAAGAAAAATAAGCCAGTGGTTGGATATCCAAACTCTGAGCAACTGGATGTTATTTTTTATTTAACTATTGCAACAAAGAGGAGCTTGAAGAGGGTTGAGGATGCTTCGAAAGTTTCGCTTGAGCAGCTCTGCATCTGTAAAGCACGGCCACAACTTTAACACGTCAAATGACATAAAAAGCAAAGCAGCAGTGTGATTGCTCATTAATTCTGCACAGATTGTCTAGCGATTGTGGTGCACGGTGGGGGGCTTTTTCTCATGCTAATACCTCAGTCATGTTCCTGTTTCTTGTATTTATTCTCGTCATTAGGCTTCATTTTTAAAATGTATTCTTACCAGTACCTGTTTGCAGGACATAATGATTGCGTTCATCGCAGAGGATTGGTACATCGTGTAATTAACACATTTTAATTCTTTTTACTTCCCCTTCCTTTCCCTTCCACCTCCCTCCCTCCATCTCTTGGTCTCTTTCCCATTTGCAGTTTGTAGGAGAAAATGCACGTGTGCGCGCGCGCGTGCACACACACACACACACACACACACACACACACACACACAATGTACTTTTAATAGATGAAATAGCCACATTGTCTGATATTTCTTTGGATGCATATTCAACTGGAAGAGTCACATGAAGATTTCCTTACATGATATTCTAAAAACTTGCCTGAAGAAATTCATCCTAACAATAAAATGAAGCATGCAAAAGCACTGCGCTTCACATAGAACCAGGATACATGAACTCTCCCATGCTGGGATCTCTGTCTTATTAGATCATCAAAAAAAAATCAAAATATCACCTCAACATCTCAATTTCCTCCCACCTCACTAGGCTTACACTCACTGGGACTAACTCATGTCTCTAGAGACCTGTACTCTGGCCCATCTAAAAAGGAAAAAGGGAATGATTATTTTAAGCCCACCTTGGAAAAGTGAGATATCTTGAAAGTCAAAAGTTTCAGCTACAAAAAAGCAGAATGGAGAGACAGCTGGAATTCTTTCCAGAAACTGTAGTAGAAAAAAGTGCAATTGGAAGATAAGGTCAGCCTGCAGCTGTTGACCCAGCCGGGTGGGAAATAGGATCAACCAGAATAAAGAATGTGCAGATCCCCCAGCAACGGGGGCAGAAGAGGGGGAAGGAGGGGGGAGGGAGAGGCATTTATGTAATTCCTACCATGCACCAGATCATGCTGATGAGTTGGCTTCCTTACCCCATGAGATCCTTAAAGTAGGTCCCTTTACACCTTAGGAAGCCACTTAGAGATGGCATTGATAAGAGCCACTAGCTCAGAAGGGCCATCTATAGCCTTTGAACTGCAAGGTGGACAGTCCCTGCTTTAGTGGCATTTCCTGTGCCGTGCCCTCCGTGTAGACCTTGGATGGCTGTCATTTGCCGTGAGGAATTGCCACATCTTTTTAATAAGTGCTTTTGCTGTCTTTTGGCAGTGGTTTGCTACTCATGCAGGCTGATGTCAACAGACATCAACAACTAAACCAAAAGCCAGATTTCTTTTGCTGGCAGCTCTTCTGTCTGAGACGGAAGTCTCTAGCAGGCGTAAACCACCATGTTTATCACAAGGCAGCAAGCCACAGATGCTAATTACACCCCCACCTCTGTGCTCCACTTCTGTGCTGCGCTCCCCAGCTAGATCTGCAGCTACGCGGATAGGTGCAGAAGGCAGAGTCCGAACACGCAGCATCTGCCCCTGCCTGCCCAGACTCCTGCCCCGGGGGACAGCTGCAGAATGACTGCTGGGCTGCACAGTGTTGTTCTGTGATCACAGGCAGACACAGCCCTAGAGAGTCAGAACCAAGAGCTCTTCGGCCCTGGCATTTGCATAATAAACACTGTGTGTGTTTTAGAACTTTGGAATTAATCTGTGGAGGGAACACGGAGAAACGTGAGTGTGAGCTCTGCCTATGTAAAGTTGAAGGCACCCTGAGAGGAAAGGACAGGTAGAAAGACAAAGAGTTGGAGCTGTTTACTGAAGGTCTTGTTTGCATATTTTAAACCACCAGTGTGTACCGTGGTGACAAAGTTAAGTGATACGCCAAAAGATATTTACAAATCATTTATTACCACCCAGGGTTCTGCAGCAAAGGCCAGAAAGCAACATGGCCTAGGGGCACTGATTGTATTTTTTCTCACTCCTTTGTTGCCGCTCCAAGTTGAAATCAGTTGTGACTTAGCAGCGTCTCAGGAGGTTCTCAAATGCGAGCATAGACATTCGGCAAGAGAGGTTCATCTGAAGGGAACCTGGGCTGAATCCAACCGCATAAACAAAGGCTGGCAGGAGCCAAGCTCAGAGCTCATCTCCACAACCAGCCACACAGGTATGAGGAGCAGAGTGGCATCGTCACACATAGCACACTCTATCACGGCTCTGATGCCAAAGACGCCAGGGCTGCAGCTAGCTGGCGGAGGGCAGACTGATCAGTGCTGGTCCTCAACCATGGCCGGGCAGCCCCTGGATTTTCCTGATTCTCCCTCAGCATACTTTTTGTGGCATTTTTTGATTTGTTTTGTAGAAGGCTTCCCCTGGAGAGGAGATTCTGAAGCAAAAATTTCAGAACATAGTGTTCCAATAACAGGTCTTGGCTG